TTTTTTTTTGAGACATGGTCTCCCTGTAGCCCCAGCTGGCCTGGAGCTCACTATATAGACCAGGCTGGCCTTGAACTCACAGGGATTAAAGGCATGAGCCACAACGCCTGGCTACATCTTAATAACTTTTAAGGAATTCTTTGATACGCTAACATTCACAGCATTAAATAAAGAGTTTTACAGTCTACATTTAATCTTTAGCTACTTAATTCTGTTAAGGTCCATTTCTTCAAGAAAGTGTGCTAAAAGGAATTTTTTTTACCTTCTATAAAGATGAATTAAAAACCAAATGTGAAGCTTGTTGCTTTAAAATTTTGCCAGGAGTAAAAAAGTTCAAAATCATGTGTGTAAATGATAAATCATCTCTGATTCACACCATAATATAAACTTTGTGAAACTAAATAATAATATTAGAGTTACCTATATACACTTATAGTAATTAAACTTTAAAACATGCATCAGAAAGCTTAAAAAAAAAAAGCTAAGCTGGGTGCAGTAATGCATTCTGCTATATAAGCAGTTAGTAGGCTAAGGTGGGAAGATTGCAAGTTCAAGGACAGCCTGAGCCATATAAGGAAACCCTGTCTCAAAAGGTGAGTAAGCTCTGGTAAAACAGCGTCTATGGAAGTTAAACAAATGAAAAGCATGCAAAGATTTCTATAGACCACCAACTTTTTAAGTCCTTGAAAACACAGGATTCTTACTGTCTGCTCAAGTGAGTCCTAGGTACAAGGTTCCCTGAAGAAATGTATTAGTGTAAAGTTTTATTCTAAATTTTAGTTATTGGCATTAAATGTCCTTCTCCTTCCTCTATTTAGTCATGCAGACATAATCAGGGCCTTGGTGAGTTTGAAAGTATAATACATTGGTGAATTCAACTCTGCCAAAACACCTGACTGAATTTATAAAACGAAAAACAGGAAAAAAAAAGTTATGGAACTGACACAGAGTAAGACAATGATTTAGGAATGAATGTTTCATTCAGACCTTTCAACTGCCTGCAGCAAGCTGAGCGATGGATCACTCTCATCATTTTGCCTCAAAGATAAGCTACCAGAGAACATTTATTTATGTAAGATGGAATACACGATGGGACAGCGATTACCATTTTAAACAGGCTGTTTGATCAAAAAGATTATTGCAAATTCATAGTTTGAAAGAAACAAAACTGCTGAGCTTACTAACAACCAATGATTATTAGGTCATCTGCTAGAACCTGCTATGAAAACAACTAACCCATATGCCCTTAGAATGCAAAGACTCCTTATAAGATAGGGCTGGAGGTGGGGATGTAGCTCAGTAACAGTAATTGCTTGGCATGTATGAAGCCCTAGGTTCAATCCCCAGTACCACCACCACCACAACAAATGTGAGTATCTTCCACTCATTCTGCTCTAAGGTAGATGCTGAAATTGTTCTTACAGCAATGAAAACAAAGACACAGATGGAAACTCAGGACGTACCTGTTATCTTAAAAGGCCATTACTCCACCGTCAAATTTCTAAACCCAAAATCTAAGATATTGAGTGATCATGTGAATCAACAAATATAGGTAAACATGGTTAAGACAATAATGAGAAAATTTAAAAGCATCTGCAAATATGTACAAAACTTGAGTTTGTGGGGGTAACTTGAAGGAAATAGTACAATCACCATTAATACAATACAAATTAAAGATACTTGTTAAGGTTCAGATAGCCCTGCCCCCTCACCAACAGGATCCCAAGGACTTCTCCTGCTCCTGAGAAAAGGGAACCTAGCTGCTAAGCACCTTGGTTTTTGAAGTCAAGAGAAGCAGACTTTTCTCCACTGTTTGGCCAACACAGCAGGCTTCCCCTTTGATCTCTAAAAAGGACAGGTTTTAACAGTCTCGCTCTCCCACTCCGCCTTCTGCAGGAAGCAGAAGCCTCCCTTTTTAAAAGACCCCAGTTCAAGACCAGGGCAGACATTTTCCCTGCCCGGAAGGGAATCTGTCCCATATGTTCCTTTGCTAATAAACCCTATTTTGATGAGTTTTATCTGTGTCCTGGTGCCTCCTCCTCCATTCGCTCATTCTCCGCCAACTTTTTACCTATCAATACTGAGGACAAATTCAGACAAAGTTCAGATACTAAATTTCTAAACAGCATTGTAATTCTATTACAATTCTAATCATTCTTATATTCAAGAATTTTAATACTAAGCCATTTGTGTTCAGCTAAAGGTTGTATTAAATATACTTTTAATTTCAATGAACTCTCTCAAAGGTTTCCATCTTAATCTAGGTTTAAATACACAATTATAATCCAGGTACACAGAAAGCTGAGGCAAAAGAATCAAGAGTGTGAAGAAAGTGTGGACTATATAGCAATCCTGTGTCAAATAAAAATTAAAACAAATGTAATTTTAAGTATATTTAAAATATTTGGTGTGAAATAAAATTAACCAATGCGTAACATTAAAATTCTAAAACCGAGTTTAAAAATACTCTTATAGAAGAAAACAAAAGGGCTATAAATAGGAAAGAAAGAATCTTTATTTGCGGATGACTCTATACATACACATTAAGATGCAAAGACTCCACCAGAAAACTTTTAGAGCTAATAAATACTTTCAGCAAAGTGGCAGGATACAAAATCAACACACAAAAATCAGTAGTCTTCTGTATACCAATGACATACTGAGAAAGAAATCAGGGCGACAATGCCATTCACAATTGCCTCAAGGAAAAAATAAAACAACCTTAGAATAAACCTAACATAGGAAGTGAAAGGCCTCTACAGTGACAACTTTAAAACACTGAAGAAAAATTGAAAACAGTAGAGATGGAAAGACCTCCCATGTTTGTGGCTAGAAAGAACTAATACTGTGAAGATGGCTGTCCTACTATATGCAATTTACAGATTCAGTGCAATCCACATCAAAATTCCAATACTATTCTTCACAGAAATAGAAAAACAAAACAAAACCCTTAAAATTCATATAGAAACACATAACAGACCCCTGATAGCCAAAGTAATCTCCTGCAAACAGAATAATATTGGGCTCTCATGAACACAAACCCACACACATACACACATAATTAAAAATAAAAATTAAAAAATGATGTTGAAAATATTACCATACCCAGTTAAGTTATACTGTAGAGAAGTGTTAATAAAAACAGTGTGCTACTGGCATAAAAACAGACTCATAGATCAATGGAATAGAACAGACACCTGATTTTTTGATAAGGATGCCGAAAATGTACATTGGC